TGAATCACCCCCAGTGTGTTGTTTTTTTTTTTTTTTTTTTTTACTATATAATGAAAAAAGTACCATAAATGTAAAAAAAGTTTCCCTACGTTATGTTAAAACATTTATTCTTACCCATATTTTTAGTAAAACATAGTCGTGGTCACGTCGGGTAAATAGACACCAAACATATCAAGCCTTAAAATAGCGTGCGCCAACAAAATCGCAAAAAAACGCCCATAGGCAACGTTTAAAACGCTTTTACTGCTCATCAGTTTAGCAGGGCTCAAAATTTCAAGTCCTGAGCTACTAGCCAGGCCTTAAGAGTTACTCGCCACCAGTTGCCCCACCTAACCCCAACCCTGCCTCGGCCTTAACTCCGCCCCTAAACCCACCCTCTTAAATTATCTTATGAAATTACACTTTTAAATGTTGAAGGCAGAATAAAGTTACAAAAATAAATATTAACAACAACAATATTAAGATAAAGCAATGTAAACATTGTGGCCCTCCACATCCCCACATATTAAATAAATACCCTCCCCCCTGTTCTCTGCCTCCTCCCATATAAAATAATACCCCACCGTTCTCTGCCCCCAACTAATCCATCCTTGCGAACGGGGCTCAGAACTGTCAGAGCTCCGGTGATCGATCGAAAGTAACGGAGCCAGGACAGGACAGCAAGGAGCGGCTGCTCTCATAGTCAGGTACGCGATCCGTGACTGCGTGCCTGACTGAATTTCCACTCGCCCTCTCTTTATTTCCACTCGCCAAATGCGAGCGGGCGAGTGGAAATTTTGAGCCCTGAGTTTAGTGTTATTAGTCATTAATGTCTCTAAAATTATTGCTCTCAGACGTTTGCGCCATATGTAACATGTGCGGCACAATAGGCGCAATCGTCATTTTCGCATATAGGCGCACCCGACGCATATCTGCGTGTGTATGTGGGGGGCGGGGACTTAAAAAAGTTTTCTTTTTTCATGCTTTATTTTTCTTAATGATTCTCTAATTAAGCAATAGAGCGTCTCTAGAGACGCCCATTCGCTTGAATGTAAAGCTCCCGGCCGGCCGTGTAATTAAAAAGGGAAGGGAAGGTGCTCGTCGGGCTCCACCGTCCTCTCGTCGCGGACGAGTGGATTTTTCAAGCCCTGCATATTAAAATTGTAATCCTGGTCACACTTGCTCCTCAGTGCACCAGTGCTGACCATGCCATGCATTCTATTACCAAAAAAAGGGTCAGCTGCAGTTTATGCACCAGAAGTGGCCTTTAGGGTGCATTCACACCAAAATCGGAAGGAAATCGCAAGTCAGCAGAGAGGGTCCATTGACTTGCAATTGTACCTTTTTTTAGGATTTCCTTCTGATCCATTGCCTTGCGATCCATTTTTGGACAGATGCTAATGGAAGGGCGCCGAAAAATAAATGGGTCTAATTTACACTGGATGCATTGAGTAACACTGAGCTGAAAAAAGTAATGCATGTCCTTTTTTTTTTTTTCTCAACGTAACGCAGGATGGTGTGAACGAACCTCATCATTTTTCAGTGTCCTTCCATTAGCATGTGTTAAAAAATGGATCCAGTGTGAATAGGCTTTAAAAGTATATCTAAACCTGATCACTAAAACCTCCATATAAGTGTTACTATGTTTGGCCCATTGACACATGTGCGTTGTGGTAACATTTTGAATTGGCACCCCAAAGCACAATGAATGGCCTGCCTTAATGCAGCATGCGTTAGAACACGTGTGGTTACACACAGCAGTGTAGTGCCAAAGTGTAAATGGGTCCTTAAATTGACACTACACTCAGGAGTTAAATCTTAAAAATGTATTCAAATACCCTAATAACAAAAATGTGCCTTATTTGTGTATTATTCGGCTGTAGATCCTCAAATCATCTCTGAATTGGTGCTGACACTGTCCTTCCTTCTGGAGGGGGGCTACTTTTGTTCCCCATGGCCCGTGTGTGTTGTAAATTAGCCACCTCTCCAAGCTCAATACAAATTTGTAAACTAAACGTGAGATTTTGCTCCTGCGTTGTCACCTTGGCACAAGTGGATGTTTCTCCACACCTTACCTGTGAAAGCCTCCCTTGTTCAGACATCTACAATCCCTGAGGCAACCTTAGCCCACTCAGAGCTGTCACTTAAATGACGTTCTGTAGTAGTCTCCTTTTCTCATTCCCCTGACTGCCACATAAAAAGGTTATGTAGGGAATTGAGGAGTGGTGTGAAGGAGCTGGACCAGCACAGACTGTAATTGGACTCTGTCGGAAGACTGGAGAGCTATGATGTGCCGGAGGGAGGGGGCTGTGCTAGGGACACCACTCCTTCTGAAGTTGCTAGCAACTTAAGAGGCACATTGCAAGTCAATAAAAAATAATTAATGGGAAGGAAAAACACTGCATGTCAGCATTTAAAATACTAGATTTTTCTGTGCTTTCATCTGCAACTGTTTATGTTGGTGGCCGGTCCATATAAAGTGATCCTCCGGTTGCTTTTATTGCAGTAATCCAGCGGTGTTACTATGTGGTCTGTACACA